GCTGATGGATTATAGACTGCTCATTGCACAGAAAGCAGCAAGTCACTTAAAACAGTAAGTTGTCCACGTTTTGCCTCCTAAAATAGTGAGTCAGGAGCCCCAGGCATATCTTTGGCATGAAGATTTTTCACTAAAGAAAGAACTCTTACCTCAGTTGCACCTGCAATTAAGTACAATCAATTGGGTGTCAAGGCTCAGCAGGTTTGTGAGAAATGAGAGGACAGTGGTATCGGAGCACAAGGTAGGAAAGTTGTGATAGTTTAAGTTCAGAAATGTGACACACTCTCTCTTTACTACATTGACTAAATCTCTCAGATAAACTACTAGCTTGACCATGAAAAACAACCCACAATGTCGTGGTCTCCCAGAGAAGACATTGCACACAAGGTGGCTTGATCATTTATTCCAGTCTCTTAATAACATTAAAACCGAAGACCCCAAGGTTAAATATGAAACGATATTCTACTGGACAATACTAAGGAAACTCCTTAAATGCAAGGGGTATTCTACTAAGGATACTCCTTAAATGCAAAAAATATTACTGTAATGGCATGAGATTCAAAGCAAAAGCTAGAGTTTCATTATCTTCACATTTTCCAAAGATGAGACACTCTGTTAGTTTATAAAGATGATAATTTAACAAAACTGAGATGAGGTTTCAAACTGAAACAAACTTGTACTACTGAACATAACCTATGACACATCATTTGCAAAGCTAAAAGATTTGCTCTTATTTTTCTTCTAAAATTATTTCAATATTTCTCAGCTCTGATGAGAATCCTCTAATATGGCATTCAAAGAAAACTCTTTCTCATTTTCAAAATCCCTTAGTTATGAGTGACAGAAAACATAAGATAGACAAAACAATGAAAACCTGAAAGGATAGTTTTCTGACAAGTACTTTAAAACCTCACTCATAATCTACTATCTGCTCTCAAGAGTGACCTTCATGTAACCCTGCTAAGGCTGTGAAAGAAGAGGAATACTGCAGCTGCAGGAGAAACAGATCTTTTTTCTGGGCTAAGAAATGTGATTCATACTGATGGATTTCAGACACACTCAAATGGTACCCTTTGTATTTGTTGGAAGTGTTATAAAAATACTTCTGCTCCCATTTTTCTTAGATGAGCCAAAAGCACATGAAGATTAAATATTTAGTTCAGCTGAACAGCTACAAAAAGCCATTCCAGACCCTGCTGTACAAACAAATCTGGATACAGAATGAAAAACAGTCCCATGAAGCTATTTTAATATATTATGCAGGTTTCCTGAATTTGAAGTTATGAATATTTCCATAAATGGAATGTATCTACTGGCCAGGCACAAGAGCAATCACTATTTAACATTCCTCTAATGCCCCAGAAGTGAATCAGTTAGTGAAATGTCCATGTTTTGGTATTTCCTCTTTAAAAGAACTTTAAAAGAACTTTATAAAACGTGACCCAAGTGTATATTCCCACATGGCGAAAAGAATCATAATTCACATTCATTGTTACATATTTCCTCCATCTCTGAATATAAGTGGAATTCCTAAAATGTTTGTGGTTTGGCAATCAGAAATGCCAGTCAGAGCCACACAATACTCACCTCTTACTTTCTTGGCTGTGGGTCAATCAAGAGTAACAAGCATCAGTGAAACAGTGCATTTGAAAAACACAAATACCACAAGGATTTTATCGGTCTGGTGACTGAGTGAGAAGTTTCAGTTCATCAGCCTTTCAGTAGACTAGATTATCAGGAGTCTCCAGCACTGGTTCTGGTGTGCCCCAGTGTAGTCTTACTGAGTAGATCACCCTCTACTAAGTGACATGTTTCAATGATCAGTAATACCCATCTAGGTTATTGATCAATTAAATGAAAGACATTTATTTCTTTAAGGGAACTCTTTTGCTTCCTTGAAAGTTGAAGTGTCTTCAGTTTTTCCTCTCCTAAATTGATTAATTAGTAATTAACAAATAGCTGATCAATAGAATTAAATATGTTGAAGGTTTAAAATATTGCTTATGTAATGAAAACATACCTTTCATCTGCAAACATCCCAAAGCAAATGAAGAAAAAATATTGCTACAAGCAAAAAACAATGAACAATTTACAAAGATATTTAATATTACACATTAAATGGCAGAAGCCAATGTATATAAACAAGATTTTTATTTCTATTGAGAAGTCCTAATGGTGTGACTGTCCCTATGTACATATGCAACTAAACTCCTCTGTATATCTTATATCCTTAAGAAATGCCTCATAAGAAACAGGAAGTGTCTCCGTGTCAACAATCCAGTCCAAAAACAGAGGCGCTCCACACATATGTTTCATTTTTTAAAACGTGTATTAAACTGGTGGGGAATTAATGTAAAATGGAATGCCTGTAGCGTGTATGAATAGATGAAAAGACCAGCTTAACTGTGCGTGCACCCACAATAAACCAGCTAATAATACTCTGGAGACGTATGCGATAGTGCTGCCTGAGATCGGAGACAGAGCCCTCTGGCACAGGGTGCCACAATTTAGGTGCAAAACATATGATGGCCTCTTGACTGTAGGATCACTGCTTAGTTTCAGGTATGCAAGACAGACCAGATTCCAGGGATTGAAAATTGTGTGGAGGAGTGTATGTTGAAAGATGATTATGGATGTAGATTTGTGCTAAGCCTTTCAGAGCCTTAAATGTTAGGAGCACTGTCCTGTACAGTGCTGAACTTCACCCCACCAAAAACCCATGGACAGATAATAAGACTTGCACGATACATTCATAAGATTGTTTTAGTTAAAATTGGGCCGCTGAATTGTTAAGGTCATTTCTGGAAACCTGAATAGGTAAAGTATTAGTTGTCTATCTAAGAAACTACAAAATGATGTATGCAAGCAAATCTTTAGGGAAAAGCAGTAAAAAATGTGTGATCCAGCCTCTCTCCGCGAGTACACAATGATAATTCAAATACAGTGTATGATCTGCACATTCACTACGGTACTTCTGAGAGAGCCAACTGTCTGGGATGGCAAGCACAGTAAGAACCACTCGAGTGAGGTGACAAACAGAGTCCTTGTACGATGTGCTGGATCATGAAATAAAGTTTATGAGGATTATTTACTTCTCTGTGCAAGAGAAGAATATTATGCCAACAAATGTGCACCAGACATTTTTGTAGACTGGATGGCACTATGTGGGCAGCAACATGCCCTGTTGTGTGGATTCAAAACTATATAAGGAAAAGAAGGAGAACAAAAACAACAGATCTCCTTTGTGGTGAGTTCTTCAAAAAAGATGAGATCTTGTACGGTTCATGATTTTTCAAGAGACATTTTTTAACAGCACAGGTACCACAGACTTGAAGAAAACAAACACATTTTTTCAGTTAATCAAACAATTATGCAAGTTGAAATGGTAAAAAATTCAGGAGATACCAGGGACCTTTAGGGAATGTATGTTTAAATAAATATTTATTTCCTAAACTATGAGTTCAAGAAGGTAGCCATTTCCATTCAAAGTTACCCATGTTAGCAGACTGCCTCTCTAGCCAAAATTATTGTAAATAATCTGGAAACCTGCTCCAGCTAATACATGAGTGTTTACGCCTATAAAAGACAAAGTGCCATTCTCAACCAATTATCTTCCTCAATTACTTACCATTGTTTGAAAATCAGACCAGAATTTCGGTAATTTAATATCGTGTCATCTATAATTATGAGCCACAACAGCCATTAAAGGGAGTGAAGGCTAAAATATTTTCTATCATGTGGGATTAGGGGGACTGTCTTGTGTTGTGTCAGTTATGGTAATGATTACATCTGCATTCTGTCAAGAAGGAGAAATGACTGAACTCGATTCATTAAAAGAGATGGTGCTGTGAAAACAACAACCTTGTGGACTGGAGCTCCAGGTGTTGGGACAGAGGACATCAACTATTAACTTCATTCAACTGCAACCACAACTACTCCACTGCTCACCCAGTAGGCTTGTTTCAGGCTTGTCAAGCACTTATCACTGATAACCCTTTACTAAAATGTTATTTTAAATTAAAACCTGGGCCCATCCACATATCAATAATTACAGACTAGGTGCTCAACTAGATGGACAACAAAAATCTCAAGAGACATGCTTGCAATTTGCCACTGATGGAATGAGCTGACATTTTGATTCAACCCAAGCTCTAATTTACTTGCACACCATAATGCAATGTTGGATACCAATTCATATCAATTCTCACTTATTCTGAAAGCAGGCTATCAGTTCATAAAACAACCACTGAACTGTAGGTATGACAGGAATTCAACAAGCAGTTCCAAAGAAAAATGGCTCAATGTATAAGGGAAAAAGAGAGAATAAGAATCTCTGGTTATACTTTATTGGTTCCGAAGATGACAATTGCTTAAGCTTGATTGATTGACATGTTCTGATATTCAATATAGAAGGCTTAGACCTGATTGAAAAGGCATTTTGGGCCTTACAATGCTCAGAATGCTGTATTATATGGCAGAAAGCAGGAAAAGGAAACAGGCTAAGTCTGACCAAGTATGTACTTGTCAATCACAGGTTGGCCATCACGATGGACTGCCACAGGGAGGCCTTGACAATCCTGAGAGTACAAGTTGCACTCTCGCTGTCAAACAGGAGTGACCAAGAAAGAGATGCAGTCCTTACTACACTGTGCTATAACATTTCTAAAAGATTGTCGGATTGGAGGAGGACAGACACACAGCCAAGCTATCTGGACAATACATTTCCACCTTTTCAGCCTGTCACACATGGAACATGTTGTTTGGAAACCCCAGCACAGCACTGCAGAGGGAGGGAGGGATGATGGTCAATATGTGCTGTGATATAAACATTTGCCATACTCTATGTCTCAATGATTATTTTATGTTTGTGGTTATCTGGTTTTATCTTTTATCTTTTTCGGCAGTGCTCAAAGCAGTGAATCACCTCAGGTTTAGAGTGGACCATCATAGCCTCTGGGACTCTGCAGTGGTTGAACACGGGGGCACAGATTTCGTCTCACCCTTCTCGCGTGTCCTCCTCATCCAGGTTGGACAGGAGCTGGGAGCCAGCCAGCGAGAGGTCAAGGGCAGCCAGGGGCAGGTCTCTGTAGGCAAAGCTGACGAGCTGCACTGGGGCGATGCACTGACTCTCCTCTTCCACCTGCTGGGAGATGATCTCCAGGTCTGACACCCCGGGCTCTTGGGCGGGCCTGGCAGGAAGGAGAGAATGATAGGAGAGATCACACCATCAGAATGGAGGTAAAAGATGTGTTTTGATTGCATTAGGGTGATTTCGACTGCTATTTGGCACATCCTTCAAATTAAGATCAGTGAGTTACATATGTGTTTTTAGTTGCTCATGGTACATTTTACACACAGTCTTCTAAAATTCATAAGCATGACATAATGTAGCAATGAAAAAGGAACTATGGAGTTACCCTTCCATATTTTTAGCTGGAAAATAAAGACACAAAGCTTTTTTAAAATGGCAGTTTGAAAAATCAGGTACAAAACTTTTTTCTCTGGTAGGTACACAATTAAAATGAACACATTCTTTAACATTTTCTACATTGTATCATGGGCTTCATACCAATGAAAACGGGAGGCCAGCAGGCACAAAGTTAATGGGAAGCCGTACAAGATGAAAAAATCATTCACAGTTTTGTGTGCTCAGCACAGCTCACTGAAGTATTTCCTTGAGCTTATTATCGAGGTAACTCTTATTGATATGTCCTGGAAAAAAACTAAAAGCACAGAAAAGAATGATGACATGGAAATAGAATAGCAGAGATGAAACTCATCAGGTTCAGATCATCTTCAAATTTCCAATCATTCAGATACTTTTTATTCTTGCATAAATGTAACTAATGGACATTAGACAAATATTCATTAATTAATACACCATTTTTATTCAGTCTGCCTGAGAATATGTACGTATTCTGAGAACGAGGGAAGCACTACATTAGAACACCAAATAAGTGTAAGTTTGCAGGAAATATTAACTTAGAGGGAAATTCTTACAGCTTGGCTATTGTACATTATAAGCCTACCACTATGTCCCATTAATACAAACAATTTTCTACATTCAGCTAAATGTAGCTGATTGCACTGCAGATGTGTTTGTTCTGTGCATATGAGTGCCTTGGCAATGTATTCCCTTTGCAACAGATTGGCTTTCAGTCATTTTCAGTATGTCCTATAACTCAAAAGGACAGTGTCCCAGAATTGGGGAGGCATATGTCACAGACAGAAAGGTTCCCTTCCTGATTCATATACAGAACTTGAGCCCGTTGCAACAGACTTTCCTTGACTGTAAATTGTTGGGGCATCTTCAGCTCAAGTCAAGATTTGTCCTTCCGGTCCATCAGTCGGTCAGAGAAGCTGTGCATCTGCGCAGCTGTGACACACATGGGACTTGGCTGCAAACAAGCTGTGACATCTCAATAGGCTGAAGAGCACTGATGAAAACAGATCCAGCCAACTCTGACTGCAGCTGCAGACTTCTGCCCTGTGGCGCCTATTTTTAGACTCTGGCAGATGCTGGTACTGTGTCCACTGGGACGTGGCTTCCCATTGTCAGCTGAATGGAAGCAAGCCCTACATCTAATGATGGGGGAGGCGACTGCATCGCAGGAGGCCTGAATGACTCTGTGCTGTTAACCAAATTCTGCACGTCAGTGATCTCAAAAGAAGCGTGCCTGGAGCTGCTTCATGGAAAACATCCACTTGTGTAATTAAAAAGCTGTAAAACCTGCAGGCCATGGGTGACAAGGTCAGATAATGTTCTAGTTATTTTCTCCATCTTCCTGTGACTGGGCTTTTACAGTTAGCAATGGTCTTGAAAAGACAGTTAGGCAGATAATCAGAGTGTTATTTTAAACCTTTATTAACTCCCTTGCGAAATGTAGGTGAGTCCGCTTGTCTAGAGTCCCATAACGTCTGGGACCCAACAAACCTGCTATTGACAGACTGATAGACTATCAAGGAAACTGTGACTGGAAAAATATTTTAAGAATTCTCTTTTCTTGGCAAAGTACTTTAATAAAAACGAATTAAAATGTTATGTCTTTCAATATAAAGCACAGATATGGAAATCACAGAGTCAAAGAGAACAATACAGTACATTAAGACTAAATGTTTATGCTCTTATATATTGTGGTAGTGGAGTAATCTCAAAAGCAAGAGACCTGTGGAGGAAAACACCAAAGTTTAAGCAGAAGTTCCGTTTGGAATGGTCTTCCTTTTCTGAACAGGCTGTGGTGTGATCGAGGGACTTGTCTACAGATTTGATCCCCGCAATTTGAAATGGAAGAAGGTTTATAACATCAGAAGAAGTGGCCAGAAGGTGTCCTTGCACTGAGAAGCTGATGCTCAGACATTCCTGCTCCCTGATATTACTGTATGTGCACGTGAGTGGGCATCGCAGAAAGCTACCGGAGTTGATCTAACATGTTAGGCCCCTTCACAGAAAAGAAGCTTTGTATCTTTAGAAAGCCTATGGTGATTCAGCTTCACTGGGGCTAAAACAGTATTACCACTGTAGTTACAGTAAAGTAGATAAACAGAGAGCGTAAACATCACAGTTCTCTCTTTGCAGTTTAGCTAAAAAATTAAGGCTAAAACAAATATTTTTTTAATGAAATAAACAAGAAACCAGACTACTTTGCTGCACCACTTTGAAAACTCTCCAGTTAAAATCTGGTTTGCGAATTATGACGACATTCAGATCAGCTAGCCTGTGAACGTCCTGGGTGACCCTCACTATTAAATGTTAATATAGTCTGCAGCTGAAAGGCAAACGTATCCAGCTTTATTTCTGGCTTATATGAGTAATCCCTAGTTAACATGTTCTCCTCAAAGGCTGCTTTTTTTAAAAGAGTATCTTTACTGCTCTCTGTGGAAATGTCACTTCAGTCTTTCATGCTCCAGCTGTGTGTATGCGTTTTGTGAGCAAGATGTATATTTAGGGATCTTCTGAATCATTGCGTCAGGTTCACTGGAATTTGAACTGATGCTGCTGGTACAGATACTGAACTCAGCACACTGCAATCCTAACAGCAATCAATGTTGTATAATTTTACTGATGACACCTTTCGGTACTCCTGATGAAAGATCATTGTATCAGTGAGAAAGAAGATCCAGACTAACATGAAATTGAAGTGTATTAAACATGTATTAAAAAAGTAAGTAGCACATGAAAAATTAACAAATATCTTTTTACAAAGGTGGAAACTTTTTTAAGAATACATCAAGGATTTTGATGCGTTTCCCTACATGTACTTCACCTACATCAGTAATTTGCTGAGGTTATATGGCAGTATAACTCAGTATAATTTAATCAGAGTTCTAAGTGTTTTTTATTTGATCTTGAAAAATGAATATTAATCTTCAGTGTGTGTGCATCTCTTATTCACTCTTGACAAAGACAATGAGCTGAAACACTGGCTGCCTATTTTTGCTCACAGTTTTTCTTCGGGCTCACATAGAATAAATGAGAATTAAAAATATTGTACCAAATATATATCATGTAATTTTAGAAAGCATTCGTGCATGATTTCAAAGTCATGTTGGAGTGTACTGGGGTGTTCTCACCAGGACCTTGCTACACTTAGCACCAGCTGGAGGAAATGAAAGTGGAGACACAGACACTGAAGATAAATCCTGTTCAAGGCCATTACTTTAATTTCACACATTTTCCACAAAAAAATGTCAATTTCTTCTCTTGTGAACCATAATGTTAAGAATCTGTTAGACTGTACTCTGAGTGCAAACTGCAGAACGCGAAAGCAGTCTGCTCTATGACCTGTGGAGCAGAGCAGGCCCAGCAACTCCTCTGTTGAAGATACTGCACAATGAGCATCAGAATTGGGGCGGAGCGGTGTTCACAAAACATTACCTTTTTCAAAAACTGCAAAAGTGCAAGGTGTTAAATGCCCCCACGTTTTTTTTCATAGGTATTTTTTTATTTATTTAAACCCCACAAGGAAGGAACCAAAGAAGCAATTAGAGAACAAGACAGACACATCTCCCAGAGATACACCTATTACTTTTAGCTCCACATTTTTTATGCATTCAAGCAGTAGAGTATAACATCGTAGCACATTTCGACTGCCTATCACTGTCACCCGCAACTGGACTGCACGATTGTCTTAATCAACAGCACAGAAACACAGCCAGCTGAATCACTGTGCCACCCAGTCTTCTTACAATTGCTGTGCAAATTGGCACCTACTCTGCTAATCAGAACGAGGCAGCTAATCAGTCACGGCAGAGACGGGCTGTTCAGAGCATCAAAATCACATTCGAAAACAATTATATGCAAAGCTGAGACCCACTACTTTCAGAGCCTGGTTCACTGCCTGGTTGCTGTTGTGCAGGTCCAACCTGCGCTTGGACATAGAATTCTGCTCTGCAAGATGGTGTGGAAATGGAAAGCAGGCCAGCAGGCAAGACTGTCCTTAAGGAGGGGAAGAGAAATTGTTTAAACATAGGAACAGTGACCGAAACCAATACACCCGCCTGCCACATTAGCAAATGATAGGATTACATGACTTAAGGGGCAGGCATAAAGGTCATCTTGTAGCCTTAGTGGCTTAACACAGCCATGCAACGGTACAGAAGGTCACACTACATAAGGTGAATTTCATCAGAGGACTCTACTGTACCTGAAAACAGAAAACAGAGTCTTGCATCGTCGACAGAACCCTCTGTGCTCTTGTGACTTGCCAGTTTTTAAAGGTGAAATCAGGACAGGCTTTTTTAATGCATAGTCTAGCAATGATTTTGTTGGCTTTGACCCAGTTTCTAATTAAATCATACTGACGTTAAAAGAGAACTGGAGCTGGAGAATCTTGGGATACTAATTTTGGAAAGTGTTACGCACCACACACAGAGGTCAAAACAAATACCTTGACATGAAGACATGAATGGCGCCACAGATAATCATTTCATTCTTGTCCACTAAAAAAAAGGGATAGAGCTTTAAACATTTCAAGGAGAGACCCACCAAGACCATAATAATACCACTATGTATAAATCTTTTTATCCAGTGTTGGTATTCTTCATTTTACACCCATCACAAATTGTTTCTTCATGTCTTTGCTCACAGCAGAAACTCTTATACCACCAGTGGAGAATGAGAATGGGCAGATATTTCTCCTGGCCACCAATTGAGCAATCAATCTGTTTTTATAGATGTTTTATCTCTCCA